TCACACTTTTTGCGTGGCGATGGCAATATCAAAAGTGGCACGACTGGTCAAAGTGTCGCAAAAAAACCCCAACACAAAGACTCACCTCACTCGCACACAGGCGGGAGACAATGGCGTAGTCGGGGATTCATTTCGGAGGGATATCCAGCCATATATGAACTGACGATCTTCCCCCTTTGCGCTCTTGTTTGTGTACGCCTGCTGGCCAAGCCACTGGGCCCAGCTTAATCTTGCCTTGGCCAGAAGATTTCACGCATGTTCCGTGCCGCGTATCACTACGACCATGATGATGATGATGATGATGGTGATAATGATGATGATGATGAAGAAGAGGATGCTCGTCTGCTCCTGTTCGTCGCGCACCTCTGCGTAAAGTTGATTAATATGCGCAGCTCTGACTAAACAGTAGCCGGGGCCAAATGGTCCTGTCCTGCTCCCGATACCGATGGGGCTGGGCTGGGCTGGCCAGGGCATGGGCAAGCAGATGACACTGAGCTGGTCTGTCGTCTGGTGTGCTGTCTGCCGACTGCCGTCTGCCGGCCACCGTCCACCGTCGACAGCGACTGTCTGACATATCCATTAGGCGGAACAGCCGAAAAGTCAGCCAGGCCAGCAAAATGCGGTTCGTTTGCCTGAGTTGTCGACCACGTCCCGTCCCCATCATAATTATTAAATGCAGCTCAATACATTTGCCACGAATTGCCGGCATTCCTCCGCAACCTAATGCCCAAAGATATTTCTTGGGGCAACCGGAGCCGCCGTCGCCAGCCTTATGACTATGGAATGCAGCCCAATCGCACCAGAAGCGGGCAGCGGCCACAAAAATGTGACTGCGACTGGGACTGCGACTGACTGCGATAGGGACTGGACTGGGAGTCCTCTAGGCTCCACTCTCCACACTCCCCACTCCCCACTGTCCACTCTAAACGCCGGCGCGTCTGCAGGAGCCAGAGCCACAGCCAGAGCCGAAGCCGAAGCAGAACAACAAGAACGATGTAAATTAAACGAATACCTTGCCACAGCGCCGATCTTTCATCGTTGATGATGCCCCCCCACCCCCTAGCCATCGCCTTGCTTCTGCTCCTGCTCCTGCTCCTTTTTGTTTCTTATAAAGTTATTCCATCTCTTCATTTTCAATCAGTGCGACAGTAATTCTGGCTTTTTCATTTCATTTCATTTCATTTCTCGATTTATTGAATTTCGTATAAATTAAAATATTAAATATTTTCAGCGACAAACTTGATAATTGCCAAGTTTTGCTTGTTGCCAGTTGTTATTCCCGCTTGCGGTATTTTGGCCAAATATTTGATAACCTTTTCGGATCGGTTAACGAACTCTAGTCCAAAAGCCACAAACATCAGACGGAGAAACGATTTCATGTAACGTTTAAATCGAATTTTGATCCCTTTTTGAACGCTGCCCAGCGTGAGGTCCTTACACACAATGTTGGCTGTAGTTGGGATTGGGGGTCTTGGGTCAAATTATTCTTTGCGAAACTCTAACAATAAAAAATATATAAATTAAATTAAATGAGAAATGATTGATACTGTCCAGCGCCCGTTGGATATTGTGTGTTTGGTGTGGCACTTTTAACACCTCCTGGTCCAACAACCCTTGTCCCACTGTCGCACGAGTATATGAATATTCAGGTACATGAAATCAGATTAAGTTATTCCAAGCAAATTGAGACCCAGACAAAGGGATAGCAACTTACTTACCCTGGAGGAACGAGGAACAGCACACATCCTCAAACACAACTACACAAAAAACAGGGAATCTATTTAAATTTTATTTACGAAAAGATAGCTTCGGTCCGGACATGGTCCCGGTGCTGGTCCTGGTCCTGGTCCTGGTGCTTTCCCAGACCCCAGCATATGTAGGGCACACTAGACTGCAATAATGGAAATTTACTTTCTGCCCGCGGGCTCCCCAGTGAAACCCCAGCAAGAGTTGTTGTCCCTTTGTTGTTTGCGGTTGGCTTTTGGTGGAGCGCAGAAGCCTTTAAAGCCTGGCCAAGCGAGCATAACAAAAAATTGCTCTTAATTGCCTTTTAATTGTTTTCGCAAAACGAATTTTAGCAGCCATAACGGCACTTGTATTTGGCCTAATTGCATGGGCCCTTTATCCACTAGCCATAGGGCGAGGGCGCTATCCAGTCTAAGCGCGCAAATGTTGTCATTTAATGGACCACTGGGCGTATGATTCGATTGGGCCAGTGACACAGTTTGCCGGAGTCGAGAGTCGAGGAGTTCCACTCCGGAGTTGGATATTTTGATTAGCACCGCAAGCGAAATTGTCAACAATATGACATTATACATTATACGAGTGCGCGGCAGCACTCCCCCGACAGAAATCACGGTTCGTTAGCCAATTCAAATGGAATCGCAATTGCTTTTTCGTTCAGAGTTCAGAGAAAAAACGAAAAAGCAAAATCCGTTGGGGTAAACGAATGAAATATATTTATTTACCTGATTCTCGTTTTAATATTCAAACAGCCGATAGAGAACCCAAGACATTTTTCACAAATACATTTGCCACAGATTGACTTGTCTTTAGACTTTAACAGAACTGTCCTCTAAGAGGGGATGCAAACTTAATGAATTCTTGAATTGAACCCAAAGAATACACATGTAAATATATATATGTATATATGTACATATATAAGTATGGAGATCCGTGTGCCATCATGGAACTATTGTAGAGATCTTCTATGGTACTCCTGAATAATGAATCCCTAGCCAACAAAGACCTTCACACCATCCCATCCCATGCCATTTGCATTTGTGTTTATATCTCTGCCTTTGGGTGCATATCTTTCGACTGTATCTTTCGCTGGCAGCGTCAAATGTGGCTCATGAAAGGTGATCGATACCATAATGAGCGCATTCAGAGGACCACGGAGCAGGAGCAGGAGCAGCAGCAGGCGCTGCAGCACATAATGTGAGCCATGTGAGAGATGAAGATGCCGCAATGCGTGCCCTATCTTCTGCCTCATCCTGAGTATCTATATATCTGACACACACACACACACACAGATACAGACACAGACACACACAGTTATCCCTGAACAACGATTGCCGCTCACGTAATGAAATTGTCCAAAACGCTCAACCAACTACTCAAAAAGTCATCGTTCAGATTTAACAAGAGCCCAGCCAGCGGCGGATGCCGATGCCAGTGGCTGATCTGAGTGCCACATGGAGGGAGGCGAGTGGCAGGCAATGGCAGTCGATGGCTTCGTGTACATATGTATGTATGTACTCGGGGATTGGTGGCAGGGGGAGGGAGGTCTGGTCTGGGATTCGGGTGTGGGTTGTGGGGTGTGGGGTGTGAAGTGGGTGTGCCGCTCACTCTCACGCCACTACGCCACTGCAACGGTGGCAACGAAAACTCATTTACTTGTGGCATGTAAACAACTAATCTGTTAACACTCTGGACAAAGCGCGAACGATACATTAGCGTGTTCTCCGTGCCCCCGTGCCCCCCTACTCCCCCACTCACCTACCCACCTACCCACCTACCCGGCTTCACCGCTTTGTCCCCCACCCTTCTCAGTATTTCCGGCTCCTGTCATTCAGGCGGAGTATGATGAAGCACCACCAGTGACAGCGCCACAATGGCAACTTTGCTCGTGAATATTTCCCTCGTTCGTAATCAAAAGTTCCTTTTTTCCTTTTTTTCTCTTTTGCCAAAATAGAAACGTGATTTCGTTGTGCAATTGGCGACAAGGATTCGAGGGATTCGAGAACATAAGGAGACCGAATACATGAGCCAGGAACTAGCAGCAGAGAGGGGACCAAAGTAGACGCTGCCAGACCACATGGTGTCAAACATTTTGCTACACTTATACAATATGCTTTAGCCACAGTGGCATAAATATATGGAAAAGGGTGAGTACATTTTGGTGGACTCAAAATGAGGTTATAGTGGAATGGAAGAGAAGTATATACCTTGAATATAGCAAGTACATTCAGTAGAAAAACATGGGAAATATACCGCAATGAAATGTTCAATTAATATATTATATTAAAATTATTATAATTGATGCAAATATTTATTGATTTATATTATTATTATTTATTTAAGTGGTTCATGGTTAGCTTTTCCCAATTATAATTTATAAATAATCCAACTGATCCACGGAACCACTGTACTGCCGTCTGCCTGCCCTTCTGCCTGCCTCTTCCTGCTTGTTCTATTTGATTTCTTTATCAATATCAGAGCTGCTTCTGCCTCTGCCTCTGCCTCATCACGCCACTCCACACTCCACTCCACTGTACCCCTCTGTTCCGCTGTACCCCTCTGCCCCATCCCATCACCCATCTCCATTCCTAACTCCGATTGTAGACCCCTGTTGTTATCCTGCAACTGCAGCAGTATGAGTGCAAGAGTGTGTGTGTGTGTGTGTGTGTGTGTAGGGTTTATATACATTTCATTTAAACGAGACCCAAGAAACGGCGACTGACTGCCACAGCCACTGCCACTGCCACCACCGCAGGCGGCAGAGCGAAATGGCAGCAGAGTCCGATTGGGGGTCGCAAGGCGTTGATCAAAGCGAGACGGCAATAGGAGCAAGGCGAACCACGCCCACTGCCACAGCGGAGGGCCTTTGGGTATGGTGGTGTTTCACTATCCGTATCTGTGTCTGCGTATCTGCGTAGCTGTGTATCTGGCTGGCTGGAGTATCTGTGTGCGTGCCTGGTACATGGACTCGGCAGCAAACTGGTCTGGCATTGGGCTGGTATTGGTGGCAACTCGTTTCTGTTACCATATCTGTATCTGCATCTGCATCTGTATCTGTATCTGTATCTGTGTCGGTGTATCTGTGTCTGCAGCTGGCAGGCGGCGGCAAGCGGCAGCAGTAGCAGTAGCTTGAGCTAGCTGCCAGAGTATCTGTATCTGTGGCGCGTCATTGTTGTGCTGCTGCTGCTACTGCCACTGCCACTGACACTGCTGTGTTGCTATTGCTGTATCTGCTGCCACTGCTGCTGCTGCCACTGCTGCTTCTGCTGCCACTGCCGTACCGTACCGTTCCCGTCGCATAGTAGGCAGCTCAGTTACAAGACCATTATTTGACGTATTTTTTGCGCGCTCGGTTGGCCGTTTGGTTGGTCGTCGCTCGGTACCTCGGTTGGTTGATCGGTTTGCTCGGTTTGCTCGGCTATATCCATAGCACGCCCAGTCCCAGGCCCCCCTCCGTCGGAGGCTTGGATACAAAGTGGATTTGGAAGAGCAGTTCTGCAGTCTCATCGAATCGTACTCGCACTCGCACTCGCCCTCGTACTCGCACTCGTTAACCGGGACCGGGTATCGCATTCATGAGCTGGCTCATTGGCATTCATTTGGATTCGCACGCCGACACCGCCAGTAGTGCGTTCAACGCGGTGGTCACCTCCTCATCCACATCCACATCCACATCTAAATCCCCAGGGGCTCAGCCTCAGCCTCAGCCTCAACGATCGCTGTCCAAGCCACGCGCGAGTGATCCAACCACACTTAAATGATTCCAAATCCTCTCCTGAAGTGCTAACACATTTTTAAATATATAAATACAACATATCCGTGGATACAGACGACTCCCCCGCCCCCGTTCAGTGATCGAATAAAAAAGTGTCTTAAAGTGAAGAAGAAAATCCAGCAACACGCACTCCATCCGGGACTCCACTCTGGTCTAGTTGGTGTGGCAAGCAAGATTGCTTCGTTTCGGTGCAGAATAGTATGCGAATTCGTCCACAGTGGATTCAACGAATAAAATGGCCGTTGGACCGACGGAGGGCAAACAGCCGCCCTCAGAGAGCTTCTCGCCCACGCACCACCAGATTATAGCGCCCAGTCCGATACTGGCGGTGCCCACACTCGCCTTCTCCGCCGCCCAGGTGGAGATCGTCTGCAAGACCCTGGAGGATTCGGGCGACATCGAGCGGCTGGCCCGGTTCCTCTGGAGTCTGCCCGTCGCCCTGCCAAACATGCACGAGATACTCAACTGCGAGGCGGTGCTCCGGGCCCGGGCAGTGGTCGCCTATCATGTTGGCAACTTCAGGTAGGATTCCACGCCATTCCACGCCACACAAAAGCCCCCCAGGCCAGATCAAATAACCTCAGAGGCAGCAGGGCAGCCTCCCTGATTAACCCCCCCCACCCGACCCGATCCGATCCGACCCGAACTGATCTGCTCTTGGTTATTCGATAGTTTTCCCCGAGCTTTGTGCCTCGACCGTAATGAGCGCACAATGAGTTCCTAAATTAATAAACAAAGGAATTAATTTACTAATTAAAGAACCATCGCAGCCATCCCAAAGCCAAGTGGAGCAGGCTTGATTAATAAAACACCGACCGACCGAACAATGCAGCAGGATCGGGGTACAGGAGTGGGCACAGGAATGGGAATGCGAATGCGAATGGACGTGGGTATGGGTCTGGGTCTGGTTCTGGGTCTGTCTGATCGGTCTGATGTTTCGGCTTCCGTCGCGTCGCGTCGCGTCGCCACTTATAAAATATTCTCACATTACATTTGAATATCTAAGAAAGCCGGAAACAGTTCATTTCAATCGAAATTTAGGCAGCAGCAGCAGCAGCGAGCAATAAGCTTTCAATGGGTCGCGATCACAAAGGAATCGCCAGAAATTAGCCCAGCCCGAGTGTGGGATAGTGGGGGGAATCAGTACCTATCCGAGAGCTAGACAGGCTATAGACCCACTTAGCTATGCCAGTGAATGCCAGTTAAAGCAAGCAAAGCAGGCGGTCAAACCGGGTCCCGTTCCCAACCTGACTCGACGCAACGGCAATCGATATAGACAATTATCCGATCGGTTCGAGTACACGCGACTATTTACGGTTGCATCAGGTTTTTCTTTTCGTCTCTGACAAATCAAATGGGGCTGCCATGGCAGCTATGAAATCTGACTACAATCAATCAATGTGAATGCACATTAAGATACACTCGAATAAAATACTATCTATATACATATACCTATGTATATGTATATGTATGAGTACGAGTTGTATATGCATATACGGATCTCTGCTGTGGCAAGTGATTTGATTGCTTTGACTTGGCAAGTAAACGACTTCCAATTAAAATCATTTGACGTACTCAGCGGAGCTGTCAACGCCAGTGACGACAATAAATGCTTATGAAATTGTTTCCAAATACATATGGCCGGCCGGCCGGCCGACTAGGGGGGTTGGAATTGGATGGAAATGGCTTTCCCAGCAGGATATCCCCGGAGCAATCCCAGCGGGGTTGGCGATAGGGTTGAAGTCCAGCAACGCAACTCCTCCTATACTATAGTGCATTAACTTTGATTCCATTTGTATATTCCAGGGAACTTTATGCAATAATAGAGAATCATAAATTTACTAAGGCATCCTACGGCAAGCTGCAGGCCATGTGGCTGGAGGCCCACTACATCGAGGCCGAGAAGCTGCGCGGTCGATCCCTAGGTACGTGCGAGTAGATCTTTTGAGGGGAGATCCCATCTAACAGAAAAATCCCCATTTACAGGCCCCGTGGACAAGTATCGAGTGCGCAAGAAGTTTCCGCTGCCACCGACCATCTGGGATGGCGAACAGAAGACGCACTGCTTCAAGGAGCGCACGAGGAGCCTACTGCGCGAATGGTACCTACAGGATCCCTATCCGAATCCCACCAAGAAGCGGGAGCTGGCCAAGGCCACCGGCCTCAATCCCACGCAAGTGGGCAACTGGTTCAAGAATCGCCGCCAACGGGATCGGGCTGCTGCGGCCAAGAATCGGTAAGTTTCACCACAAACAACATCTTCTCGGGGGTCAATTATCCCACCCCACTCGTTCCAAGCTCCAGCTACAGCTACAGCTCCAGCTCCAGCTCCAGCTAGGAGGTAACTCGAGCTGGACTAGGTAAAACGATATCACATCTCCTTCTAAGCGGCCCAGTGGGTTTGCGTGGGGTTCGCTGGGGGGGAGCGCAGTGGAGTGGGAGCCATACAGGAGCGTTTCCATTTCATTGATCCGTGCCGATACTCGAATGTGGTGGAGGCGGTGGCGGTGGCTATGGCGGTGGCTATGGCGCGGTGGCGGCACTCAGTGAAGCGTTCTCGATTTCTGCTGTTCTGTTTGTTGCGGTCGTCGCTTTTTGGCCACATTAAACTGACCGCCGCCGACTTGCGTTCGATGACGATGACGATGACAATGTAAACGCAGCAGCTCAGGCTTCAGCTGGAAAGGTGCAACCGCTTGCAAAATATGACCAGAGACAGTGATCAAGAGATCGGGGGGCGGAGAAGTTAAAACTCGACCAATTCGCGCGAAGTTGAAATGAAGAAGATCCCGCACAGAAGATGCCCACAAAGTGGTGGTGGTGGAGGAGGAGCAGCAGGCGGGGGAGAAGGAACGCAAGTTAAGTGGAATGACACTGCAAGAAAAGCCAGGACAGGACGGAGTCTCGGAGTCGAAATCGTAGTCCACTCAAGTGCCTGGCTGCTCCTGCAGATGCGCAAATATTTCAAGTTCTACCTGCTAACCGAAAATGAAGAGAAAGAGCGACGGAGAGAGAGAGAGAGAGACGGAGAAAAAAGGAAAGGAAAAGTAAAAGAAATCGAGACAACATTTGGCATTCTTCGGAGAGATCTTGAAGCCGAGAAGCCCCGAGATCCGATCCGCGGGGCTGTGTTTATTAAGTTAGGAGTCGTCTCAACTTGAATGAATCTGCACAAAGCGCCAAGCAACATTCATTATTCACCAATCCAATCCAATCCAATCCACGTATAACCCCCAAAATAAACAACAACCACAACAACAAACCGATGCGAGCGAGCGCCTTTTGGAACGGGTCATTAGTTAAAATGATGGCGATTATTTCGCTTGTAAAGCAGCAGCAGAAGCAGCCGAAGCAGCATGGATACGCGGCCATTACAGCTCCATTCGTACTCTGACTCTGACTCTCTGACTCTCTGACTCTCTGACTCGTATTTGCACCCGATCCGGAGCCAGGTTGAGATCCAAAGCCGCAGCTCGAATTCGAGGTTTCGTGCAGTCTCATCGTGTTATTAAGCAGCGCCGGCAAAAGACTTCAAGATGAGACAAAAAAAAAAGGGAGAGAAAAAACGAGAAGCGCATTGAACACAAATGTCTACAAGATATCCAAAAGATATATATGTACGTATGTATGTGCGCATCGGAGGGTATACAAATATGTATCTGTATATATAGAAATATGAAATTAAAAGCCGTTCATATGCCCCAGCGACGGCAGCGGCAAGCACTTCGACAGCGCCAGGCGATGGGCAGACAGCAGAATATGAAGGGGATTCCGGCAGGAAAGGACAAGACAGGACAGGGCAGGGCAGGGCAGGGTGGAGGTGTAGTGTAGTATACAAAAGCAGAGGGGCAGCGGGGCAGCGGGGCAGTGTCAGACCAATCTCACCAGAACCCAGATCGAAAGCCTCAGACCTGGCGAAGAACAGGCGCTGACTGTTCAAGCATTGTGCGCTGAAAAATTGTTCACATTTTTGCTACTGCACTTGTGCAAACGGGGAGCACAGAAAGATACACGGACAGGCAGACAGACAGACAGGCAGACATACAGACAGAGCAGCTGGAGTTGGAGTTGGAGCTGGAGTTGGCGGTGGAGCTGTCGGCCCAAGCAAAACAAGATCGTGGGGGCAAGAGGGAGCCAAGTTGTGGCTCCAGCTAAGATGGTAAATCAATCAAATACGCAGTCAGGGCACCACAAGTATTAGAAAGGCTCCACAGAGAAAGGCAGCGCCTGCTCCCGAATTGAGTAATTAAGACATCAGAGATTGATCGACTCAACTTGACTCTGTTCGAGCCAGCGGAAACTTGTCATGCTCTGATGCCTCCAACTGCCAAGTGTAGTGCCGCAGCCGCAGTTGCAGTTGCGAGATATTCAAAATCAAGATTGCAGCACATTATACAAGAATTCTGACATGGGAGCCCACTGGCAGTGATGTGAATGGCATAGTTGTACCTGTATTGTATCCAGGAGATACGAAAACCCCTCGAGGCGTGTATGAGAGAAAGAGTTGAATTAACCCAACGTTCATTCCGATATTGACTCCACAATATCCACAGCAATTAACACCGAGGCTGAGTCATACGATATTTCAGACTAGAAATCAGAATTCGAAGAAGCTTCAGTTCTTGGCAAATTGATTCAAACCGAAAACGCGACTCAGGCTAATGGCCTTAGCCCAGCCATAGACTTGATTTTGATCAATTACAATTGCCACTTGATGATGCACGACAGCGATATGAGGCTCTTGGCTCTCGGCTCTCGGCTCTGCTCTCGGATAAACAAGCCTCAGAATGTGTGCCGTGCTGTGCTCTGCCTCTGCCTCGCCCGCCACAATTGTTTTATTGCGTGAATTACACGAAACCGAAATGCGTGGCTCGTGGACAGCCAGCCACTGGAGATTCGCCCACACAGATGGATGATGGGATGGCATGGGATGGGATGGGATGGATGCTCAGCAGCGGGCCCAAATTAGGGGCACAGTGGGCGGGTGTCAGCTGTCAGAGAGGAGAGCAGAGCAGAGCAGAGCGGGGAGCGGGGAGCTGGGAGCGAGAAGAGCAATTTGTCAAAGCCAGAACACGAAATGTGCCAGCAGAAATCAAATCAACGGACATTTGGGTACTGGTTCGGGCTTTTGGGATTGGATTTGGAATTGGAATTGTGCCCGAAAGAATGGTAGAGCCCGGAGGGGAGTGTAATAAAATTGAACACACAACAAATATGTTGTAAATGTCAATTATCAATCAAAATAACAAACACGCACTTGCGGACACACTTGTGGGGAGAGAGAGACGAGCACTGGGCCAGAGATACATCAGCCAGTCGAAAAGAGAGAGAGAGAGAGAAGAGGATAGCTCAGGCTTGCGGGAGAGGGGAGGAGGGATAAGGACAAGAAGCTGCCACTAAATTTGAAGAGGTTTTGCCCATCGATTTCCCAGCATCCGAACATCTCAGCTCAACTCGAACCCAAACCCAAGCCCGAACCCGAACCCGAATTCTAATGAAGAAAGGAAGATGCAGAAGCATCAGCAGAAGCAGATCCACATCCACACCGTGTACACCGTCCATTGTCAATATCCGAGTCCGAGTGGGCACTTGTCTGAGCGCTCGGACAGGGCACTCGAGCCACATAAGTACCCATACCCATACCCATGCCCATGCCCATGCCCATGCCCATGATGCCGTGATGGAAGCCCCCGTGAGGGAGCTCCAACTCCGACTCCGGCCGCCACTCGACGCTGTTTGCACAACACCAACTACCGTTTTTCGGTGGCTTGTGAGAAAAATATACAATATACAATATTCAACATGCTGCATGCAATGGGGAGCAGGAGCCAGAGATGGATGAAGCTGGGAAGCTGGGAGCTGGAGATGGGAAGCAATGGAAGCTGCGAGTCGAAGAAGTTGAATGAGTTGAATGAGAAGTCGGACACTTCAATGCCATATAGAAAGTGTATTAAAGAAATTAATAAGAAGTCATCAACATCATCATCGGAGCACAGCACAGCACAGCACAGCACTCACTCTGCATCGATGGCTTCGAGCATCGAGCAACACCGGATGTGGCCTTTGTTCAATTGACAAGTGATAGAGAGGGTAAGAGGGTGTGAAGGGGGGTTTGAACGAGGCGCGGACGGGTCACATTCCTCCCCAGAGGGGGGGTTGCAAATATTCAAATTGAAAGGCGAACAAATTTAAATCCCGTTTGTCAACAGATCTCTGTGGAACTCAGGCAGGGCAGAAAGAGCACAGAATAAATGTTGATTGCATTTAGGTCCGCCACTCCAGAAACAGAAACAGAAACCCCTCGGGAGCGACTGACTGGAAATGGCTCTTAGAGGCAGCCCAGGCCCAGGCCCAGGCTCAGGCTCAGGCTTGTCTAAATATTTACACAATTTAGAGCATTCAATTTGAATTGACACAATTATCGAAATGGCTCGAAAGCGATGCGATGCGATGCAATGCGAGGCAATGTTCTGCCTGATTTGGTACCAACTGCTGTTGACATTGGCTGCTCCCGTAGAGAGTTACCTCAACATCCTATGTAGAATGTAGAGTGGGGCTGCTAAAGGACTTGGACTGCTCCCTCTAGCTGGTTTTGTCACTGATTGTGCTGTCTGTCTCTGTCTCTGTTTCTGGGTCTGTTTCTGGGTCTGTTTCTGGGTCTGTCTCTGGGTCTTTAAGCCATATTTAAATCGCAGCGAGAGAGTCTTTTGTTGGTCTATCGGGGATCATGTTACCAGCATTCTTCTGCAGCCTGAATGGGTCTCAGTTCGTTTCGTTTCGTTTCGTTTGGATTCGTATTCGATTCGTATTGAATCCGAGTCGGAATCTCCATCTTCTGACATGAGCCGATTAAAGAACATTTCAATGCTTCTCTTCTCGGGTTTCCAGCCAGCCAGCCAGCCAGCCAGCCAGCCAGCCAGCTCTTCCTCTGACTGGCCATGTCCAAGCGGGTAATTACATACGTGTCATTTCGGTTAGGTTAGGTGCCACACGGTATCCGATTTCATTCAACCCTTTGCCCCTGGACTCTGAGTCTGCCTCCTGCTACCCCCTGCCTTCTGCCTCCTGCTGCCTCCTGCTCTGTGCCCTGACAAGTCAATTGTGTGGAAAATATATATCAGATTCATGTATCCAAGTTTTTGGTTTCTTGGCTCAAGCCAAGCGTGCCGAGGCGAGCCAAGCCAAGCGATGCTCCCAATGGAGCGTAAAAGTGGCCTTGAGTGTCGCCCGTGCCAAAAATGTTGGCTACTTACCAGAAGGATACCTAACATCGCTGGCATGGCATCCATCGCTCCACATTTGTGTTTGTGCTACCGCCGGGGCTAGGGTTTCATTCCGCCGACCCACCGCACACCGATTTCCAATACTTTCCCATCGTTGGAGGGTTCCAATTACCGAAAATCAGAGGCAGAAAAACCTTTCTAATCGGCGTAGTAGGCCCTTTTTTCTGGAGTATCCCAACAGCGGGTAGTCTCCCCATGCTGCTCCCCTGATCGTTTAGCTAACAATTCATCTTGGCCGGGAACACTGGCGAAGGGGCGAAGGGGCAGATGCTGTGGCTGTGGCAGTGATCCATCAAGTTGGCACATTAGGCAACTAAACGATTTAATGCTCCCTCAAAGGCGAAAGACAAAGGCCACAAAAAGGTAGCCGCATATACATTTCGAGGCCCCAACTGTGCCAGTGTCTCTGCTCCCCCGTCCGCTGGTGCACACTGGTGATGTGGTGGCTGTTGGTAGTGAGTGCAAGTGGTGCACCATTAATCACACAACACGAGCCGCCCAAGGATCAGCGGTGGGGCAGAGTGTGGCGAACAAATTGCGGCAACTTGAGCGAATCCTAACCGATAATTATGACATTGCAGGAGTCATGGCGCGATGGCAAATGATGATGTATATGAGAATGCTTCTCGCCCTTCTACCCCCACTCTTTCACCCTCTGTCTGCCTCTGTCTCTGTCTCGCTGTCTCTGTCTCGCTGCTGGTGTCGAATCTATGGCGGCTAATCAAGTCATCTTCTGGTCGGATGGCGCGTCTTTTGTTTTGGCCACAGACAATTTATCTCAAGCATGTGTGAAAGTTGTGTCAGATTTATGAGCCGAACGGGGTCCGAGTCCCAGTCGGAGTCGCCTCCTTCTGCTGCTCTTGCTGCACTTCCCCCTGCTCCTTTTGACCCCCTTGCCGCTGGAGGGCAGCGACAAATGAGCCGCCTTAATGGGCGTCAAGCCGCAGCCTCACTGCAACTGTCGGCCTTCGACTAATTAACGATGCTGATGCCAATGCTGAAGCCAATGCAATGAAAGTCACAGACCGAAGTCCATCAAGAGGTGGAAGAGCGGAAAATAGCGATGGAGCGGCGGGTCTGTGGGAGCAAAAGAAGTGAATGCCGATCGAATGGGGGCTTGGGAACCGATCTAATTCTATTAGCCATTCGATCAATTATTATTGCATTGCTCTGAAACGGGCACCGGAAACTGCCACAGTCCTGGGGTTTGGCAGAAAGAGCGTTCACATGGCAGCTACATATATATATTGTACATAGTACATATGTACATATGATGTGAGCAGAGCCTGTAAATTTATGGGGTGACATTTGAGGCAGCAGATATTTTATTTTAGTTGGCTCTTAGGCGGATATTCTGATCTGATCTCTGCCATCTTCAGAATAAAGAAGGTAGTTCCTTCCTCTCCACAATCTATTAATTAATGTACCTACATCAGAGAAGCCCCCACTCAACCTTTTCCTTTTCATTGCAGCCTCCAGCACAACCAGAACTCGGGCATGGGCTGCCGCAGCCGGCGTGCAGATGGCGCTGCCTCGCCCACGCCCTCGGACAGCTCCGACTCGGACATCTCGCTGGGCACCCACTCACCGGTGCCCAGCAGCCTGCAGCTGCAGCACAGCCCCGGGAGCACCTCCAACGGCGCCAATGACCGCGACGAGAGCCTCAGCGTGGACGACGACAAGCCGCGCGATCTGAGCAGCTCCCTGCCGCTGGCCTCGCCCGGCCTGACCCCGCCCCAGCTGCCCCACGTCGGAGTCGTGTTCGGTGGAGCGGGTGGGGGTGGGGGTGGTCCTCCACTGCCCGGGCCGGGGGGTTGTCTGCCGCCCTTCAAGCTGGATGCGGCCACCAGTCTGTTCAGCGCCGGCTGCTACCTGCAAAGCTTTAGCAACCTGAAGGAGATTTCGCAGCAGTTCCCCATCCAGCCCATAGTCCTGCGGCCGCATCCACAGCTGCCACAGCTGCCCCAGCTGCCACAGCCGCTGGCTCTGAACGGAGGCGCCGGCGGACCTCCGCATCTGCATCATCCCGCCTATGCGGCCTATGTGGAGTGCGTGCCCAGCCACGCCCAGCAGCACCCACCGCCCCCCAAGCTGCGCATCAACTCCCCGGAGAAGCTCAACTCGACGGCGGTGGCGGCAGCCGTTGCAGGAGCGGGAGCGGGAGCAGGTGCAGGAGCAGGAGGCGGTGCGTCGCATCATCACGAGGCAACGAACACGGGCTACCACCACAGTGGGCAATTGCTGCTGCACAGACCCTTCTCAACGTCGCCCGAGCTGAAGCACAGTGCCCCAGAGATCACATGATATCAGCGGGTCTGAGGTGTCGCCACATCCCCACACCCACGCCCACACCCGCACCCACACCCACACCCGCACCCATACCTGTCCCCATCTATACCCCGAAGCACTAAGGCCCAGCTATTCAAATTGTTTCAATTCTAATTCTAAGTTAAATGTAGTTAAGCGCATCCCTGGAGCGAGTTCCAGTTCGAGCAATAACTGAATCCGGCAAGATCCTACCTACCCTACTACCTACCCTATATCGTACCGTACCCTATGCTCGTAAGCCCCAGCAAGTACTCGTACCACAGCAAAACGCAAGCGTCGCACACTCTTCAAAGATAGCCATTTAAGCCAGTTGGAAGGAGAGTTACAGATAGAGGAACCAGAGGGATACACTCGTACTATATAGAGACAGAGACAGAGACAGACAGAGAGAGAGAGGCCAGGCCGATGCCGATGCCGAGGCCTGGGAGCTGAATGTGAAACTTGAATTCGAAACGTTTTCATTCAAACTTATGTGTGTGTACGTAATTGTAAATAGAGTTTAAGTATGCAAATCATAGAGCTTACGTATACATTTAGATTGCAATAAAAACCGAACGAACAGTTAAGAATTTAAATCATTAAACGAATTTGTTTTCTTCTTCTGGTGGCTGTGGAATGCCAATCATTATGCAGATATATTGGAGACATCTCTTGAGTAACAGATCTATGAAGTATCTGCACATTCTTCGGCTGATATGACGATGGGAATGATATTTTCCAATCCTTCGGGAAGAGAACCTAATTAATGAGATTGAAGAATGCCTTCGCCAGCTATCATTTTCAGCTTTCCTCGGGGCAAACATCAGACTCTGTGTAAATAATCTCTCAATAACTTTGAACAGGATCGGGAAAATTCGCTCTTCCCCGTGTCGATCCTCCGTTTATTCATCTGCTGTTGTGGGTTTGTGTGTGCTGCTTCCCCGATTGTTGTTGATATTTTGAAATAAAATATCAATTTCTGTGTAAACATCAACAAGAGACTTCAGTACGAGTGCATGCGGCACCGAAGTCATCTGCAGGCCAAGTCAAGTCCAAAGGGAAAGAACAACAACGGAGAAACGTCTACCCCCTCATCCTATCCAAATGATGGCAACGTCGTCAGCCTCAGCCTCAGCGTAAGCGTAAGCGTCGGCGTCGGCGGATGGCGCCAACGATGACATGTCCGGCCTTGCCATGTCCTACTTGAGTGGTTTACTTAGCTGCCTTATGAAAATATCCAATGCTGTGGGCAAACGCAAACGCAAACGCAAACACACGAATGCATCCAGCCACAAGCAGAATAACCACAATATAACCAACCAGAACCACGCACCTCTCACCAAAAAAACACAGAGGAGAGGAGAGGAGAGTGGAGTGAAGAGGAGAGGAGCGCAGCGGAGTATCCACAGAAAGTGACGCGTCACTGTCACTCACACACAAATGCACCACATCATCGTCATTATGGGCTCAAAAGTCGCGTCTGTGGTGTGCCCTGGGAACATTCTGTGTCCATATCCATGCCCATATATACCCATATATATATATATCGAATATGGAATCATTCCGGCTGTGCATATGCGATCTAATCTGAGCAGAGCCAGCGCCAGCGCCAGGCCAGAGCCAGAGCAAGCGCCAGAAGAGGAGAAGACTCTTTCGCCAGATTGATGGGCCTCCGCCTGCCTGACTGACTGACTAGTTGGATAAGTGCTTCCTTTTTACAACAAATTTTCGGCTCAAATTACAAGGTGAATCCAATGGTGGAGAGGGGGGGGGCTAGAGCATGTGCAAGTCGTCAGACCATCCGACAGTCGTCAGCGCTAGAAACACTTGAAAGCGCAATTATCAGTAGCCCGGGCCTGGCATTAAGTATACGCCGCATTGTCAGTTAATTTTCCCCGATGCAAGAAGGCATTTTCGGCCATTTCATGTTTTTATTTTTAGTGCCGTCTCGCACCGTTCGCGCCGCCTCATCACCGTCATCATTATGCATGATGTGACACTTTTGACCCTATTTCCCTGCACTATCCTCCACCAATTTTCGGATCCACCTCCGCCACTGCCTCTTGGCGTCTGCAGTCTGCAGTCTGAGTCTGAGGTCTGTGGTCCGTTATTGGTAGTGGAATCGATAGGCGATAGACGAACACCATATGTCTCCAATTAGCCGGCGACGCACCTCTCCCCTCCCCACCTCTGCCGCGTAATTGATTTACTAGCGCATGGAGCATGAGCATATACTCGTACTTCCAGGGAATGTGTCATTCGAGAGAGCCATTGACCAATTACATGAGCAGCCAACGGTGCTCACGGCGAGAGTGTGAGAAATGTCTATCTATTGAATGGTTCCACTGAAGTTGGAACTGGACTGCCCTCCAGTTGCTTCTGTTGTTTTATCCAATTAATGCGTCGTGGACATAATTTCGAGGGTTGATAATTATCAACGCCCGGGAACAGGAACAGTCAAACAACCTCTGACCTCTATGGGCCCACTGAGGGGGTGGGTGGTGTGTCGCGGTCCTGCATTTACATATTTTACAAGACGACTCAATTAGGTTAGCCACAAAATAAAAATAAAAATAAAAAAAAGATCGTCTCGCTCGCTGCAAAGGTTTGCACACACACAAATTTCAAATTGAATTTATGCACCCTCCAGGAAAAAGTGTGTGTGTGTCTCTTTCTATTTTGTCGTCAATTTGTACAGAGTTTCCTTCCATCCCATCCCATCCCATCCCATCCTCGGGGCCCGCCTCGTTCTGGGTCCCGTCTACACAGTTCGGAAATTGCTGTTCAACCAACTCCCCCGAACAAAAGCCCATGCTCACAGTGGAATGCACTCTCATTGTGGGTGCCCAAAATATTTGGACAGGCCACATTGAATGTTTGTTTTCATAAGAAGGCAATTGGACGGGCATTGGACTTCATACTAGGAGAGATACTCGAACGCAGCTAAGCCTAATGTTGTGCAGCTCTCAGAAAAGATGCTGTTCTGGATTGTGCCACGTTTGCTCCACTGTCTTCGGAGCTTATTGACAAAGGGACAAAGCACAGAGAGAGAGAGAGAGACAGGCAGGAGACGGGGGCAACGTTTACCACAATATAAAACATTTAACGGGCACATCTTTAAATCTTTTGACTGACATTTGCTCACTTTCTGCTCACGCCGCCTGTCTGTGGGTGGGGGTGGGATGATGATGAGGGACGAGCATGGACGAGCAGGGACGAGCAGAACGAACCCCATCATTAAGTGCGTAAATGTACTGTAAATAGACAAACGCGCTTTGAATATAATTCATCCAAAAGAGTTGCATTGTTGTCTGCCTTGCCGTGGGTTGGAAGAGATTGAGGAGGAGGAGGAGGTGGAGGAGGATGGGTATGGCTGGCGGAAGCAATGCAAATTCCCCAAACAAACAGCAGTCGAAACCGAGAAAGGCCCATCTGTTCCGAACTGTGTTCCGACAATTGTGAACAGTCAACAAGGCGAATCAATAAATTCCGACTTTATTATGATAATTTTTCGTGACAAATTGTTGAAGAGCGGTTCGGGGTGTGAATTAAATGGCCCGAGGGACTTGGATAGGCTTGAACTTTGTCCAAATATTTGCAGCATTAAATGAGCAACGCAAACACTTCACACATGCGCCAGACTGTACATATAAATAACCCTTTTCTTTTGGCGAGGAGAGGACACAGGACAGACACTTCGCCCCAAGCGAATCCTCCTCCCTATAGAGAAAGCTTGTGGGCGTACCTGTGGGGCACCTGAAGCACCTCTTCAGTGTGCTTCATTAATGCTTCATTTACTGCACCGTACCTTCGGTTGCGGAATAATTCGACACTCGTACTAATTGTCGCCGAGCATCCCAAACGAAAGATGAGTCGCTTTCCCTTTTGTGTGTCTAATGAGATTTTCCCTGGATAGAGCCATCGATATAAAGATGGGGGAGTCATATTCAGACGAGACGGGCGGGGACTCCGATGCCCTATGCCCGATGCCCGATGCCGATTCGGGCGAAAGGTGCACCAGACAAAAGGAACAGGAGGCGTCGATCCGTAATTCATAAGAGCATTGAAAAGGCAGCAATAGTAACAGTAACAGTCCCACGTCTCCCTTTATCTGTATCTATCAAGATGATGTCTTCATCCTGGCTCTGGCTCTGGTTATGGCTCTTGTTCTTGTTCTGGCTGAGAAAAAGAAGGGCGTGGCTATTGTGGTTGCGTCTCGGTGCTAAAGAGACTCGCCTCCTCTGCTGGGGTCGGTCCCTGGGATTCGGATTAACAAAAGCACTCAGCTCAGTTCAGCCAACTCCGATTCTGATTTTAGAAACATTTCCGCTGCTGTTTCTGTTTCTCTTTCTGTTTCTCTTTCAGTTTTGTTGGCATTGTTATTCTTGTCCGCAGACCGCATGGATTTACAGATTTTGAAAACGGATTAGACGGAAAGTCGGGGGAAAAATGCATTAAATGCTTTCTCTCTCTCTCTCTCCTGCGCTGCGCTGCGCTGCCCAAAATATTCATGAGCCGTGGCTGGCAGATTTTCCATGTGATTACTGGAACGCCATGTAAACGGTTTTTCGCCCCGATAGCATCGTACGTACACCGATGATGCGTAGATATATACGTACATACGCGAACGATTAATGTGTAGAAATTCTGCTTAGTTTTAATGGCATATTCCCCCGATGATCCCTGATGGGTTGAAGTTAGTTGAGAGAATTTTAATATCACTTTCCCTCGATAGATACGAGGAACACATCCTTGTTCCCTAGCTAGCTGCTGCAGTTGGGAAAACTTAATGTGAGATGCATTAACTTAATCGGCCAGTGGTTGCCTTCATTCAAACTAATTAAACTAAATTGCTATTCCAATTTTCCACTTGCTGTCCAAAACATGCCTTGGGACAGACCATTTTGCCATTGTACCATCCTCCCATCATCATCATCATCAACATTATCATCTCGTTTAGAAAATTGAGGCTGCCCGAGTGAGCTTTCCCATTGAAATCATCTGTGGCTGCTCTCCATTGTTGGGAGATTGAAAAATCGTATTGAATTACTGAAACAAAAGTGAAATAGGGAGACCATAGACCTACGAAAATTGAAGTTAAATCAAAATCCATAATGTTGCCAAATGTGCGATGCTTTCCATGTTGCATGCTCCCTGGTCTCTGGTCCCTGGTCCCTGGTCCCCGGTCTCTGTGTTCTATTGTGTCTTCCCCAGCGATTCCCGATTGAATTATGAATTAATAAAGATGTTTGCCCGCAGGCCAGATTTGGGTTACGCCAGCCAAAAGACAAAAGGGGCCCCGGCAAGCAAGTTCTCTGGCTACATAGAAAAAGAGAGAGAGTTCAAGTCCAAGTCCAACCCCTATGGAAATGTTCGCTCGTTCGTTCGTTCTCTTTGGCTTTGGCTTTGGCTGTGTTGCTGTTTTGGCTTTTTGGATTTTGGATTTTGGGCAAAAACACACACACAAATCCGTTACAACAACATGCGTGTAACTTGAGGATGCACTTTTGCTGCTGCTGCTGCTGCTGCTGCCCCTTTTATTGAAAGATAATTGGGTTCGTTCGCCAGGGCAGGCGATGAGGAGGGCAGGACCTGGGCGACCAGACAGGCGTAAAGAACGGACTGACGAACGTTCGCTTCGCTTCCCCCAAACCAACGAACGATTCGCAATTCAATTGAGATTCAAATTCACTTACCCCAACTGCCATCGGAATCAACTTATTATATTTCAAATGGAAGTAAGTATCTGACACATCACCACCATCATTCGTAACGCCCTCATCCAAGCCCAGCCCCAGTCCCAGTCCCAGTCCCAGTCCCAGTCCTGAACGCTTTTGACGTGTAAATGTTATCTCTTTTACAAATTAAGCCCGACTACATTTTCCATGCCGGATTTTGGGATTCGGAGATGGCCTTGTGGTGGCTTTTCATGTACATATGTACATCTATCGTGTATCTGTGGATGTGTGGATGTGCGAGCAACACCCTCGCCCTCCCGCACAACGAATCCAAAAAATGTCCAACAATTAAATGTAATTTGAACTTACTGACATGAGCGTTAACGCTCCGATGCGAGATTGTGTGTCAGCCAAGGGAAGGGCAGGGAGCAGCAGCAGGGGGGTCAAATAAATCCGCTTGGAAGATCAACAAGAAGTGGATAGATAATATTTGAGAACCATTGCTTTGTTAATTATTTTACTCGCACAGATTGCAGCCTTTGTTCGGCATTAAATACAAGAAATTTATTTCAATTTGAAGATCAAATTCGGGGGTCTTCGAATACGTATAAGAAACTTCTGAGGGCTTCGTTGCCACTGCATATATGTTAGAATTATATTTACTTGTCGGATCTTAAAGTTAAGAGCAAACCATTGCCTCTGTAGGGGAGCTGCTGCATTCCCAATACTCGCCTCAAAAGCCTCAAAAGCCAAAAGCCACCCGTACAGTTCCTTCCATGCGGTGTAGAGTGTCACCCAAAGTGTCATTGGGGCTTTTTAATCAACCACTGCATTAGCTAAGTGCCCCCCTTCCATGTTAACCTTACTCCGGGCTGTGGCAGGCCCTAATCGGGTTAGGTTAGGTTCGCCCACACACGGAGACACACGGGAACAGGGGAACGATGCACATGCCACAGGAGAGAAGGATCCCATCTATCGATGGATGACCAGAGCCCAAAAGAACACCGACCGCAACTTGTGGGAGTGCTGTGGTGAGGCTCTTACACTCTGCCAAAAAAGTTTCACCCATCCTTGAAAATGGGTTCAGTTTTTGCAGTTTTGGCCGTGTCCCCCGCCTTGGAGGTGTCACTTTAGCTGATGTCATGGATCGTCTGGGCCAAAGTGCATCTGCATGTGTGTGTTTTTGGGTATATGTGTGTGCATATATGTACATATGTATGCATGCAGGGACGATACGTATGCCAAATCGGCTTAAGGGCAAGTTATCGGCATTTGAAAATAAAAACACGCGCATTATTGACACCAACCCGAACAGAACAGAACAGACCAAAAACAGAACAGCATCCACAGCCTGCACAGCGATTTTGATATGTGGAATTACACTGAGAGAAACCCAGAAAGAATCTCGAACTGAATTAATTTTTGAAATACGTTTAACCTTTGTGGGTATCTCCAATTATTGTTATTAAATCTGTATTAAATTTCGAACCGAAAAGGCAGTACTTCCCACCGACGTCTCTCAGTGTAACCCATCGGTAGTAGCGACGGCAATGCTTCTGGCAGGCTGGAAATGAGGATAAGGATGTCAAAGCCTTCGTCTGCCTGCCTGTCAATACGTTTTCCATTCGTCGCCTCTAATGACACACATATTTAGGTGTTAATCGCCTCATTGGAACGCTGGCAGCGGATTTGCTCGCATTGTTGTCCGCCGGCCGGTCGGAGTCGGGGCTTATGCTCTGCGCTCGGCTCCGGATCGGCCCCCGAGTCGGTCTTAGGGTAAATATTGATGCTGCGATTATAACTATTGATGCGTACACAATGGAGTTGCCGGGTATTATCCTCAGCCGATCAGCCAGCCAGCCAGCCAGCCAGCCAGCCATCCATCCATCCATCCGTCCGTCCTGCCAGATCTCTCTCACTCACTCTACCTATCTTTCGCTCTATTCCGATTAGTCGTCACCGGCGACTCAGTCAATCGTCAATGTTTTGGCTTTATGGCACATTATCCCTAAATCGCAAACAAAACTGCAAACAAATTGCCGCAAAGCAAAACCACAGAAAAAAAAAGAGAAAGAACGAGGAAAACATGCATATGGGACCGGATCGGGGCAACCAGAGCATATGCTCGGAATCCGGATTGGGATGGGATCGTGAAGGTATTAGACAAATTGTCAAATGGCTTCAGTGGCGACGGAAGTGAGCTGCCAATGATACCATAGTCGCCTCTATCTCCCTCTCTCTTAGGGGGTTGTTTGATTAAGTCGTTCATACATATGTATTTATGTGTAGGTATGTGATGGATTTGCTAAATATTTGGTATGTTCACTATATTGATATGGTTTCAATGGAAAAATTAATTCTATATAATTTAAAAAACACATACTAATTGGGTTATTTGGCTGGTTCGTTAACTATATGTATTTCCATGTACTTATTATGAATTTCATAGCGAAAATGACCTTAAAAAATCAATTGATGTTAATATGTACATACATTCATATGTATGTTTGTCTATTGAGTCTCAACCACGAAAATAACTGAAGCGGATTTCGAATAATATAATATATATAATAAAATATTGATCATAATATTTACAAAGATTCTTGTATTTTAATTTTCAAAAGCTAAAACTGGATCTACATACATGTATGTATGTAAATACATAGAAACCCATTTTTGATGACATTCCGACGGAAATTTGTTTTTCATTTATTTACGGATTTTTGGCTGCCCTTTTAATTAAACAATATGGTGTGCATGTACGAGTGTGTGTGGGTTGTATTGCAGACACGGAACGATGAGAATGTGACCTTACATGTTGTTTTTCTCAAAACTAATCACGGTTTCATTCATCTTTTAGGGTGAAACACCCGCTAGAAAGAGATGCATATTGTGTGTGTGTTTGTGTGTGTACATACATATGTATGTACACAAGTAAATGGTCTTATTGGTAGACTGCTATTTAACCAATCGAAAGAAAGCACGTTAACAGAGCTATGTTACGTTTAACAGCAGCAAACTGCTTGCATGTACTGCTTTCACTGCTTACTGCCGTTAGAGATTTAAAAAGAATTTCAAATAAAACCCATTGTTTTGTTGTTTTCAACCATTTTTATTTCTAAAAAATTAACATGCCTTTTTGTTGTAGCTATAATTATAATCACTAATTAAGTAAATGTTTTGTTTCTGCATTTGGTGTTTTTCCACTTTCTTTTTTCTCATTTATCGATTTAATTCTATTAAAATTCAACACGAAAGTTCAGCTAAAAATTGCTCAATCGTTACATTCAACGTTATACGCTTTTGATTTCGAAATGGATTGGTATTTTTAATAACAACTGGATGCTAGTTTATTAACAAAGTTCAATGCGTACGCAGGCGTACGTGTATGTATAAAAACAAAAACATAATTAATCCCTAGGATAGATTACTGAATATGGGTACTATATTAAATGAACACAACAAACCATTTTTACACAAGGGAATTGGCTAGAGAAGAGCAAAGTGTTGTAAAAGAAAGATTACCATGTCTAGAAGAAGATAAAATGTACAATGAATGCGCTAACAGAGATGAGAAACAAATAAAAAGTCTAACAAAAATCTTCGACTAATGATTAATTCTAACTAAGTGTAAAGATCATTAACAACCGAAAGAGAAGGACCTACACATTGGGATGGGTTTTAGTTTATGTTCCTTATCTTCATTTTTTTTACACAGATGAATTTTATGAATACGTGGATTACTTTCGCTATCAGGCCTAGAAATTTGTGAACATCATGGACGGATGTTAAATCTGAAGTAAAATTTGGCGCCGCACAGTGGCGCCTTGCTGACTGCATACAACCCGCGACGTCAGCCAAGATTGGGTTAGAGTTGAGGTGGGAATGGGAATGGGGAACGGGAACAGGAAACGGGAAAGAGAAAGGGGAATGGGAAACGTGGATTCAGGAAAGGGAGTATTTAAATTTTGATTTACACTAAAGTTAACTATACTAATCAACAGCTTCGTGTCCAAGTTGGCTTCTCCATTTTGTTTCCTTTGTACAGTGTTTGCGCACACGTGCTCGTATCATAGATGTAAATCTACATATACATATACATATACTTGTCAGTATATTTATAAATGTGTGTGTGTGTGTGTGTGTACTTATGTAATGCTATATCATAGGCATCTAAGGCATAGTTTTTATCTAAACAATAAGGTTTCATGTTTCAGTTTACCAATTATTTACAACAATTTCGTATCACAATTGTAATTTTTGCATTTCTTTTTGCGTTTTGCTTGTTTCAAAAAATGTTGCTATGCTTTGGACACACAGTGGGACACAGGCGATGTATGCAAACTGTTGAGCAGCACTGTGCGGGTATTCGAAATGTTACTTTTTGTTACGTTGCTGTTACTGCTTCCTTTTATTGCTTCCTTTTACTGCTTCTTTTACTGCTTTCGTTTTTTGTTTGTTGCTTGTTTTTAAGTAAAAGTTACGATTATAATAATTGAATTCAAAATTCGTTAACCTCTTGCTAAGCTAAAACAAACTGTGTCTATGTCTGTAGCTGTATCTGTAGCTGTATCTGTAGCTGTATCTGTATCTGCTAATGTATTTGTATCTATGTATCTGTACCTGTGTTAGTGTGAGTTGGTGTGTGTCAGTGAGAGGGTCTTGTATATAACCTGGCTATGTGTTTGTGTGTGTGTGTTTATATATATATATATCCTGTTTTACATATATGAATTGTAACGTTGCTTATACCGCTTTTGCATATAGATCTGTTATAATTAAACTTGTTGCTGTTCTATTAAACTCTGAAAACATAACAAATTTAAAGCCTTTGTTGAAACTGTTTAGGCATTTTGATGTACGAATATACATACATACATACAAACTAATGTGTACGATGTACATATACGATGTTCGATGTGGTGTATACGATGAGTAGATTGATGCCGGATGCCCAGTTTAAAACCATAAATTGCCACCTTTGAGGCGTCCCCCGTAATGCACTACAATGCACTAAGACCGACCTAAGATCACTTACGTCACGTGAAAGTACTGTACTTGTTACGTATCGCGTAAGTGTGTTGCTGCCAGTTGAACCGGCTGGAAAATTATTGCCAAGACTTAAAGACTAAAACTACTAAACCTAATGCATAATAACACTACATAACAGGGTGGTTCGGTTCGGTTCTGTACGGTTCGGTTCGCTTAGGGGAAGGTATTCAACATCATATTCGGTTTCGTTTTCTGTTTCTGTTTCCGTTTCTGTTTCTGTTTCCGTTTCTGTTTCTGTTTCTTTTCCTTGTCACGTTAAACGTTCATATAAAGTTTCGATTCGTTAAGGGATTAGGTAACTACGTAGCTCTCATTCCATGCCTCGCCTGCAGAGGCTCCGCATGCAGATCATAAAAATATGATGAGTGTTATCTCTATATGTACGTATGTATGTATATAACTATATATAATGTAGATGTAAACGTAGACCTAGATGTACAACTAGATGGTAGGTGTATAATCATTTGCTCTGAGCGTAACTGTGTGCCTGGTTGTGGAAAATCTCTCAAAATTGAGCTAAGTAAATATTCGGAATCCGCATTCGCATTCGCATTCGCCTTCGCTTTTGCATTTGCTTTTGCTTTTGCATCCGTGTTTGTCCATCGGATCTGGAGGATTGGATCTCCTCCCCATCCCATCCTATTCCACTCCACTCCACTCCATCCCACTCCATCCCATTCCATCGCATCCAAGTGCCAGCTGGCTTACATGCCGCTGGCGAACTGTGGCTGCTATTGATGACTCTTGCTCAGCAGGTGAGCATTGAAGTCGTAGACGTTGTTCAGCTGCTCGCCGCAGATGTTGCACTTCCACGGATTGCTCTCGCAGTGGCAGCCCTTGTGCAGGAAGTAGAGCGTCTCGTCGGGGAACTCGATGCCGCAGAAGTGGCAGGTGAGTATGAGCTTGCGATTCAGCAGATCCCCATCCTGGCCCGTCGACGTGATCGTCCCATTGCATATCTGTGTGGAGCTGGACCCGTTGCTGGGATTTGGCAAGGCTGATGCGGGTGTGCCACCGCCGTTACTGCTGCTGTTTACGCCGCCCGATCCAGACCCCGGACCCGATCCATTGCTGAGACTGTTCGACAGCACGCTGTTGCTCTCCAGGGGTGTGGCATTCCGTGTGATCCGGTTGTTGGCCTTGGCGCATATTCGACGTTTCAGATCTTCACGCAGGAGAGACTTCAATGGTGAGACCTGCCCGAAGGAAAACAAAAACAAAAACCATAGTAATCATGGCATGATCAGTGATAAGTGATAAGTGATCAGTGATCCACCCACCTTGATCAGTGAGGTTCTGTTGTTGTTGTTGCTGTTGTTGTTGTTGTGGGGGCTGCTGCTGTGGTTGGAAGATTGTTCAGTGTCGCTGCTGGGATCGCTGCCATTGATCTGTAACTTTTTGTCCACATCCTCTGTCATTGGCTCCTGCAAATGTTTGAGTTGGAATTAAAGACGAGCATTATTTGCCTATGATCATTCGATAGATCTGTCGCTGGAACTTACCTGCTTGATTGGTATCAGACTGATCGAGGGCGTTATGTGATTCTCGTGGTGGTGGTGATGGTGATGATGCTGCTGCTGGTGCTGCTGCTGGAGATGACTCTTGAGGCTCACCGTTGTCGTGGTGCTCGACGTGATGGGTGTGGCCTTTGTGTTGCAGTCCATGGGCAGCTGCAGCTGCAGCTCCACCGGCGACTGCATGATCAGGGCGCGATCTTTCACCTTCTCCGCATTCGATTCGCTGTTTCCATTGCTAATGACACTAATGGTGTTGCTGGTGTTGTTGTTGTTGTTGTTGTTGTTGTTGTTGTTGTTGTTGTTGTTGTTGTTATTGTTGTTGTTGCTGCTGCTGCTGCTGCAGTTGTTGTTGTTGCCCTGCAATGCAGATTCACGCCAAACGCAAATCAGCTGTGGGGGCTTACTATAAGCAAGGGGGATTGGTGGAGGAGATGCTCGAGTGGAACTTACGTTGAACAGCTCCGTGTTGCCATTCTCGCTCAGCGTGGAGATCTCCACGTGCGGCGTGAGGAAGTGCATGGGCGGTGTGGCGTTCTCCAGGGAGCGCATCGACTCCCCGCTGTCGCTCTGATGACTGGCAGGAGGAGGCGCCACCGAGGACGACTGCTGCTGCTGATGCTGATGCTGCTGGGCTTGACCCTGGGGAACGGGAACGGGACTCATGCCGGGCGGCACATAGCTGGCAGCTGCCGCAGCCGCCGCCGCCGAGGCCTGCGACTCGAGGGCCAGCAGCAGGGAGGAGGTGCCGCCGGGCCCGGGGTTGTCCAAGTCGATCCCGTGCCGGTTAAAGAAGTGGATGCGCAGCGACTTCATGGACCCAGCCCGGTAGCTGCAGAGGGGGCAAGTCTTGACCAGATCGTGCTGTCCCACGTGCTCGTTCTGGAAGTGGGCGCGCATCGCGATCTGGCGCTGGAAGCCGCGGTTGCAGATGGGGCAGTGGTAGGGCAGCGTCTTGGTGTGGGTGGTGAAGTGCTCGGCCAGGTGGTCCTTGCGGAAAAATCGCTTCTGGCAGACGCGGCACTCGTACGGCTTCACGCCCGTGTGCCGCATCTTGTGGCGCCGCATGTTGGCTCCGTTGGAGAACTTCATGTTGCACACGTCGCACTCGAATACCTTCCTGGAGCTGCTGCTGTTGCCACTGCCGTTGCCCGCCGGCGAGGAGCTGGCCGAGGAGCTGGACCCCCCGACGTTGTCCGACGAGGGCTTTCCCGTGTCCATGTGGCTGAGGCTCATGTTCTCCGGCTCCCCCAGATCCTCGCTCTTCAGGCGCACCGAGGCCGCCGCCGCGGCCGCAGCCGCCTGCCCGGCCAAGCACTGCACTACGTGGAGGAGCAGGGAGGCCCGGGAGCTCGTCTCGAAATTGTCACATCTCTCGCAGCGGAATGTCATGGGCGGCGAGTGGGGGCCGCCAGTACTGAGATTCGTGGGTGTCGGCGTCGGGGAGCGCGGCTCTGGGAGCTCTGATTCCGAGGCGGATCCGGACCCCGACACGGACGCATCCCGATGGGCCGCCGCCTCCTTAAGGCTGCGCAGGGCCAGCGCATTGTGGTGCAACAGAGCTGCCGTCGTCGGCGTCATGTCCACTATGAGACCACCGCCCACTGCCACCGAGGGGCTGGTGTCCTTGAGGGCCAGCTCCATGCTGCTGGCTGCGCTGCTGATCGTTTCGGCCATCTGCAATGGATAATGGATAATGGAGGTGGATAAGTGCCAAGACTAGACCGAGCCACGCCCAAAAATCGATGACAAGTTGCGGCTTTTTTTTTTTTGGCATTTCAAGTGCTTCCAAAGCAACCCAAACCCCAAACCCCAAACTCAGACTTTGACTTCGACTCTAATAAGCCAAATTGGTGTCAGCGTCGAAGCTTGACTGGTATGGGCAGGGGGTGGGTGAGGGGGGTTACCGGGTGTTGACGGTGGAGGGGAAGGTGGCCAGAGGGGGGCGAGGTTGAGCGGAGACCTGCGGCGAATTCGCTAAGAACCAACAACGACCATTTTTGGGCGGCCTCCACATTGTGGCTGCGGCTGTGGCTGTCTCTGGCTCTGACTATGCTTGTTGTTGGTGGCACGTTGACGCTGACTTCGTGCGGGGCCTGCTCTATGAAAATACCAAAGTTATTGGGGCCAATTACTGGTCTTGCAGGTGGGCAATCGTTTGGACACCCATACAAAGCCAGAACAGACTGCTTGGGGATTGGAGATGGAGAGACCACCACACCACACACCACACCACGCCAACAAACAGCACAAATCATTCAAAAGTTTGCCCCAAACACAATGCTAGGTATTCGCCATGGAAACTTTGATGGATTTTTAAAGAAGAACTCTGAGCAACGATTTCCATGCAGTACTTAAAAGTACTTAAAACATGAAAATATCGCCCAATCTTTAAATATATTGGATATATTTTGATATATATTCGTATTATGTGGGAAATGTTGATTCATAAGAGAAGCCATTTCTAAGTTAATTCTCCAAATTGATGCCCATGCTAATAGTGGAACCTTTCTCTCAAGATTTTGTGTACGAAACTCTTCCGAGTGTTTATCATTCATCTCTATAGTTTCTTACAGATCTTATTTAGGTTGTGCCTAACCTGACACCCAAACCTTGGTTCGGCATACAATCTTTTGGTAAGAACTGAGAGACTGAAGATCTTAAACGATTTCATAGTCTCTCTCCCAGGGATCGTTGAGTTCAGTTTTATATTGTTCCATTGTTGTGGGTTTTTCGCTCATGTAGGCTGGCTGAGACGCATGTCACTTGATCGGGGTCTGGTCTGGGTCTGGATATTTGGCAATAGGTCAAATGTGAATACTACATATACATACATACATATGTATGCATAAATCATCATCCATAATCATTCGGCAGAGCTGGTGCGAAGCTCTTCTCGCAGCTAATTCAATTCAACCTTGAATGCTGCTTGTGCATTAGCATTAGCCAGATCACAAAAGCCAAGAGCCATGGGGGACGACCTCAGCCCCAGACTAAAGAGCTGAAGCTATGAAGCTTCCCCATACCGAATACCGAATACCGACTAGCCACCATCCACCATTCGAATGTGTGCTGTTGGATGTGGATGGAGATGTGTGTGCATTTCTGGTCAGGTCAGTCAGCAGATTGAGGGCGCCTTCTCATCGTCTCATCATCCGCAGAGCAGAGATTGAAATGTGTGTGTCGTAGGGCCTACCACACTACGCCACACCACACCACTCGTGCGAGAGCATAAAGATATCAACATAATTACGAATTCACTTTTCGATGCATAACAGGTTTCACCGACTGACTCCCCACTGGGTATGGGGATGGGGATGGTGATGGTGATGGTGATGGGGACGGACCCATTTGAATGTTGTAAACCTGTAAGCATTAGCAGCGACGGACCAGCGAAAAACTATAGCACCGAAAACGCACAAAAAGTTGGTTTGCATTTTGAGTAATTATGAGGGGCTCTTGCTTTGCTTTCGGCTCTGCTCTCTGGCATTATAAATGCCATAGTTAGCCCGGGCCTCGAGTTGTTGCCAACCCAATGGAGTCATTGGGTCAAGTTTTAAAGTGCAACTGGGTCATGCTTTATCATTATCGCCATCATCACGTCATCGTCATCGTCATCCTACACATCGCTGTCCACCATCTCTGGCTGGGCGACCCAACTTGGTCTTGGCTCTCGGGTTAGAGGGTTCGGGTGGTTCGGTGGTTCGGGGGTTCGGGGGTTCGGTGGGTTCGGGGACTGAGGTCTGAGGTCCGGTGGGGTGTCCCGCATTTTCACTTGCGAGGTGTTCCCAATTCGGAATACCAAAAGCCAAAAGCAAAAGAAAATATATAAGCGCCAGCGCCTGAGCTTGAGCTGCTCCAGAAATGAGACACACACACACACACACACACACACACACACACAAGTGAGCGACATAATTGGAGCGCTTTGAGAGCCCTTAATGATGTTGTACAGTGTACAGTGTCCGCAGCATGGGGGAGAAATGTGCGCCAATATTGGGGCTAATTTTAGAGCGATTATAGCGTAACTTAAACCTAATCATAATCACCAACGAGCAACGTTCTTCCCATGTACATACATAAATGTAAGAAAGGTAAATGCAATAATTTCTTCTATGCAAATTAATTCTAAAGGATTTGTGAGATGTGATTTGAATAGATAGATCTGAAGATCTTCCTTGATCTGTAGCTACAAATAGTGAAAGACTCTTTCGACTGGCACTCAGACCACTGTGCACAGTGGCACAGTGGCTTGTAGGCCAAATTAATCTTTTGGATAGCCTCAGGCACCTCCTCGCCTCGCTTCGCTTCGCCTCACGATTCCGATTCCAATTCCAATTCAAATTCAAATTCGAATCTAAAGCCGAGACCATTAGCATTGCATTGGCCAGCCATTGGAAGAGCGGTCTTCGAATGGTGTTGGAATCTGAATCTGAATCCAAATCCAAAGCGGACGCATCTTTTTCTGGTGCGGCGATGCTTGAGGCTGGAGGCCGGCCCCCCCACTTGATCGCATGCAAAACAAAACAAAACAAAAAAGACAAAAGAGAGCGTATAACTGATTTGACCTTAGCAGACATTTGCCTACCGGTTTGCTGGTGCCGTTCAGGTGGGGAGGGGGAAAGCAGGAGGGGGATCGCGCCCTCTGTGCCATTTACTCCAACCGCGTCCAGGTCGGCTGTTCCATTTGCCTTTTGGCGTCACGCAACAAAGTGAGTCAGTCGGTCGATGGAGCGCTGTGGCGTCTCTAGCAAATCAATGAACCATTCCCCCCCGCAAACAACGGCAGCAGCGGCAGCAGCGGCAACAACAAGAACAAATGAGCGTTACATGTGCGTTGAAACGAGAACCAGAACAAGCCGAAAGAGACACAACAACAGAGAGAGAGAGAGAAGACTGAGAGAGAGGAGAGAAAGAAACCACTTTCCATGGCGACACACTTTTATATGCTACGTGCTCTTTTGCTACTTTTGCCACTGCCGCTGCTGCTGCTGCTGCTGCTGCTGCAACAACAACAACTTGGACTCGGGTTCCCCATAATAGAAAGTGGAACAGGAATTTCCCCCCCATCAATGCCACCAAAACGAAGGCAGAGGCGACAGAGGCAGCAGCGGCAGCAGCAGCGGCAGAGCACGATGATTTCATTTTGGCCTGCACTCATTGCGAAACACTTGCCACGGCCAACAACCAAATGGCGGCAACAGCAATAGCAACAGCACCAACAGCAACAACAGCAACAACAACAACAACAAGCGGACATCGAGAAAATCAAGAAACGGAAAAAAGATTGGAAAAAAAAAATAGTTCAGTGGGAGCAAGAGGGAGCCAAAGCCAACGCCAGAGCCACAGCCACAGCCAGAGCCATAGCCAGAGTAGCAGACAGCTCTCTCTTTCCCCACTCTCTGTGTTCGAGTGGAGCGCATGTCCCATTTTTGTTTATGGTTTGCCGCTGCGCTTCTCTTGTTGTTGTTGTTGTTTCTATTGCAGGTGCATGCGCGCTCTCCTCTTTGCTCTTTTTGCTATGGTTCTTCTTCTGCTCGCCTGTGGTTGCACCAACAATTGCAATTTATCAGCATTAGCCGCGTGAATTAATTTCTAATTGATGGCCTATGCAATGGGCTCTGCCCCACTTCCGATTCCGATTCCGTTTCCTGACCCCACTCTGCTGCTGCTGCTGCTGCTGCTGCTGCTGTTGGGGCTCTCTCTTTATCTCTCTCTCTCTCGCGCTCTCTTTGGTAAGTGGCACTGGCTAGCGTATAATTTTTGTTGTGCTGACCTAATTATACGCTCATTTTGATTCACTTGATTTTCTCTGCTCACAACCACACAGACGCACACATGAACGTGTCGTCGTCACTGGGACGACAAGTGGAGCAGCAGCAGCAGCAGCAGTGGCAGTGGCAGCAGAAGCAGCAGCCCCACATTGGGGCAGGCGACCGTAATTTCTTGTGGTTACTGGGACGCACATTATTGGGTTTCCACAGAACATGCACATGCTAGGGATTGTTCAGAGGTGGGATGAATGTGGAAAAGGGGGAGTGTGGGGGTGGGGGTGGAGGCGTGGGCAGGTGCAAGGGAAAGGAGCTCAATCTTTATTCACCCAATTTATTACTCACTATTTATAGGTGATACATGTACATCTGCATATATATGTATGTGTATCACTGTATAGACAGGGGATTCTATGCTAATCCAAACTTCACTTTGATTTGATCGAAGGGAACGCGGGCGAGCGACATAGGCTAGAACCGAACTGAAACGTACCACAAATACAAATTCAAATTCGAATTTAGATCGAAAAATGCAATGACAGTTGCACCAACAGCCCGACCGACACGACCGACCGACCGACTGACTAGGAGACCCAACTGTATCTGTCTCTGTTTTGTTTGGGAACGGAAATGACAAGGGTGGCGTCTCGCCCCAAAGGGGGGTCCGGTCGCTCAGTAAAAGGTTATGCCCCCCGAAAGAGGTGCAAATGCAGACGGAGAGCCAATATTGGATGGCTGGGCATCTTGAATCGAACATATTTAAGCCCCAAGGGAATCAATCCCCCTCAGCAGCACCCAACACTCCTACCACTGTCAAAGATTTGCCAATCGTTGGCGCTCTGGCTCTCCGACAGACACACACACACACACACGCAGACTCTCACAGCCACAGAGACACAGATCAGCAGCAGCAGCAGCAGCAGAAACACCAACACCAACAACAAGACGCAGCAGAATTTGAAATTAGGTCAACAGGTTTGGTTGATTGTGGTAGTGGGCCTGAGCCAGTTACTCGAGCGTATGCCGTCCGTCGTCTTTGCCTACGACCTCGGCTGTCATCATCAAGAGAGAAGCAGAAGCAGCAGCAGCAGCAGCAACAGCAACAGCAGCGACGGAGGCAGAGACAGCTACATCCAAAGCAAAGCTATCGCTGCCACCGCCGCCGCCGCCGCCAACGCAATATGCGTTCCGTTCGTTCCGTCGTTTATTGCACCAGAGTTCGTGCAGTTTGCAGTGGCTGTGGGGGAGATGCACTCGAACACACACACACACACACTCTCACACACACGCATATCAGAATTGAGCACACCGCAGTGTGGGTGCAAAAGGGGAGACAAGAGGGCGCCCGTTACATTTGGGTAAATGAACCAGGGATGCAGCACAACTTCAGGGCTTCAGTGATGCACGGAAAAGGGGAACGGAAGGAACCCTTTGGAAATCAAATCAAATCTTTCCATTCTGCCCACAACATAATCCAGCCCGTAGCAGGGATCAGTTGTGTCCGTTGTTGCAAAATGTTGGCGAAAATCCGCATATGTTCTGAAATGGAAACTCAACTGGCAAGCAGCTAACTTGGGTTTCTGAATTGATTTCGTTGCTGCCAAGAGATTTCCACATACTTCTTAGTTGGTTTCTGTGTCACAATCACAATCGCACACACACACATACACACACAGCGATGCGAAAAGGTAGACAGAGACGGTAAATGAAGGAGGGAGAGACAAGACGGAGAGGAGGAATAATGAGGCTCCCAGAGAGGCAAAAGCTGCTGCAGCCACCTGCAGCAGAGACAGACACAGAGCCAGAGCTAGAGCCAGAGTCAGAGCCAGAGCCAGAGGCAGCGCGGCAGATAATCCCAGTAGAAATTGAAACTAGTCGCTGCGGCAAGTTTATAGAAAACTGGTATAGAAAAAAACACACATAGAGGCAGGCAATCGACCTTGTAGGAGTATATTTTGTCTTGGAGCATGCCCGTAAACTGGGCCAACGCGATTGCACTGAAATCAGGTGGGCGTGACGTAGGTAAATATGTTGGCCAATGCGGCCGTCTATCTGTGTGTTGGTGTGTTTCCCACTGTGCCTGTATGTGTTTGTTTGTGTGTGTGTGTGTGTGTGTGGGAACGTTTTTGGGAAAGCAAGCACCTAGATGAGGATGATGATGATGGTAATGGGAATGGTGTAGCTGCTGCTGTACCCTTGGCGCCCTTAATCCATAACACAAAATCCAACAAAATGTGTCGCAATCCAAGATCCGAAATAGCCACCACTCGAAGGGAGTTTCGTAATTACAGATTGTGCGATACATACCCGCCAAAACAGATTTCTATAACCAAAAAACAGCCTTGGATGTGGATGTGGATGGATGTGGTTCTTGCCGTCTGTCTGATTTTATTCAGTTTCTGATGTTTTCTGTTACCTTAGCATTAGGCACAGCTGGAGTCTTTTGCAATGCTTCTCGAAAAAAAAGAAACGTTTGTGTTTGGCAATTTTTAGATTTCAAAATACCACAAGGTGCATTCTAACACACCACACACAAGCACACACACACACACACACAGGCACACAGGCACACAAACTCGCAGAACACATTGGCGCGCGCTCTCTGGTTCGCGCGCTCTATCTCTTTCCTTCGTTCGGCAGGCAACTTGCCTCTCTCGCACTCACAAACACACACACATGGACACAGAGCTGCAATTCTTGGATCTATGTTTCTCAATGGACACGAATGTGGGAAGGGGCTGGCTGGCTGGGTGGCAGCTACAGTGGGGGGATTTTGCAATTTGCGTACACTTTGGAGTCGCGTCGCACACTTATTATCCAACAACTAACCTCCTCCCACAACCCGGACTCGGGGACGCTGCTGCAACTGGAACACAAATATATGCACGACAGAAACGAAAGGGCAAGCGCAGCGGATCGGATCCACAGTTAAAGCCTAAATAATAACAACAATAATAATAAGAATAATTTTAACGGACAACGCGCGCGTCGTGGCCACATCCGAATGGGCCAAAAGAAAAATTTACACTGAAGCGGCGTCGGCAAAACGACGAGGCACCACCACAGAGCAACGGCAGCAGAGTGAGCAGTGTGCTGCTGCTGCTGCGCCGTTGGGGCGGCTGGCGCTCTCTGGTGAACAAAAACAACTCAAGCGATTCCGATTCCGATTCCTCAAGGCCTACTATTTAGGCCAAAAAATAATGTACCACAACAGCAGCAGCAGCAGCAACAGCAACAGCAACGGGCAACAACAAGAAGGAGAACAGCAACTCGTTTGCTTTGCTGCTGGTCTGTCTTACAGAAATGTAAACGTTCTAATTGAGTTCTCATTTATGGCCAGTGGTTGTAGCTCCAACGACGTCTGCTGTGCACTGTACTTGCCACAAGTGTTGTACTGGTAGTTGTTGCCATTACCCATAGTGCCAAGACAATCGAAAAATGTATTTGCCCAACATACTGTTTCCTCTGGCAATCAGCTTTGACCTGTCCTCTGTAGGTATTTCAGGATCCTCTAAATAATAGGGAAACCTATTTACAAAACTATGCTCAAAGAGATCGGATTAAATGATAAACAAAATGATTTTTCAATATAACGAACATAAGAATATAGTATATTTTTAAGAAGAAAACCATTCAAAAGGGTCGGTCACTATCTCTCTCCTACGCAACACATATTCGTAAAAATTCAGGAAGAAACTTGAGTAAAAACATCTTTTTCAGGTAATCGATCTTCTCTGGCTTCACTGCCTGCACTGCCTCGTTCAGTGTGTCTTGTAAATGTCTTTGGGCTCATCATTGAATTGTCATTATGATGTTAGTAACTATGCTATTGTCACATTTGCTGTTTTCTATCATAAGCACAACTGCTCTTGTCACATTTGCTGTTTTCTATCATAAGCACAACTGCTCTTAAGCACATATTCTTTGCTGAACTCAGTCAAAGAATTTGTTCAATTTACTCCTCCTCATCACATCGTGTTTTCTTTTATGATAGCGCCGCTTCAGTGTGTGGAAGGTGATTCTTATGTCTGCGATGTAGTCTGCTTCAGTGTATCCACTTCTTTTTTGAATCTCTAAATAAATACACGTTGATTAATTTCTGTACAGATACGTACATACCTTTAGGTATACACATATATATTAATACTCACCATAGATGGTCTTGTTAATATTCTTAAACTGCCTAAACGGCTGCTTGTGGTTAACACCATCGAAGTTGAAGCCCATTATTATTTCCTCTCCGAATATCTTGGGAATATTATCCTTGAGTGGCTGGATGATGCCTTCTGGGCGCAATATTCGCTTCATCATAGGAATCTGCAGAGCTAAATTTAATATGTGCGAATAGTAGACACGATCCTGTAGTATACTCACAAAGCTATTTCCGGCCCTGGCCAATTCGGAGTCTAATTTTGTCAGTTCTTGCGGCTCTCGCACTGGGAAATATTCCGTTCTTTCCTCTGTGGATTCAGAAGAGCCGGTCAAAATAGTGCTTCCCAGAGGATTTGCTACTTGGCCTAGGAGGGTGATTATCAAGTCTTGATTGCTCAAGATATCGTCCAATTTGTCCTGCAGCTCAATTATTTTGATTTGCATTATCTCATCGTCGTTCGACGAGAGTGGATCCTCTTTATTCCTCCGGGCAAACGCTGTGGATTTAATGGCATTAGGAAAAAGAATAGGGAATATGGCTGGAAGTATGTCTTACCCATCGCCTGCGACAGCAATGATGTGTTTGTGAATATATGTTAACAATTCTGGGCGCTCGTTTGGTTTATATTTGTTTTCCAACCGAGCACTTAGAGATGCGTTGCTCTGCATTGTTTTGATGCTCTCTTAGGAGCTATCGTAAATCGCGCATATCTAGATGACGTTCTCGTTGTTGTTGCAACTAGGCGATGGTGATACGATACTTCTATTCGATAAGTATCGCGGCAGTACTCTTTAGCTGCCTGGAGTATTTCACAACACTGTTTTAATATAAGGCGCATTTGCAGGTATTTTGTGTGGCTCCGTTTTAAAAATTTGTTTACACATTAAAAAAGCGTGATGAATATCCGAATTAGGTGTTAAAGTGTTGCTAAAGTGCTCTTCCGTATATGTGTAGTGTTTTCCTGGTGTTTTTCAATCTTTTTATGGCGTAAAACTTGGTTGAAAATTCAATACTCACCCGCTGTCTGGAGCGGCAGTGTCGCCGTCAATATAATTACTGTGGCCATAAGTTTGCATAAGAGCGAGCGAGTCGGCTATATTGCTTGCAGAAATGGCGTCGAGTCGAAGTGTGTTGTGTGCACATGGCCAAGACTTTAGACAATGGCCGGGGCTGCTTATTAATTATTTATAACTGCTCTCCCATTTCATATGTTCAGAAAGCACTCGCAATCTGGAAATATATTGATAATAGTCAATAGTCAATGATAATAGGCAATGCATTTCATATTCAGTGAAGTGTACACCATTTTGTCCGGTTTTTTATTCCGCTTTGTGCGCTTCATTCGGTTTCAATGCCCTCGCATTCAGTGTTGCCAAGTGCCGCCGCGGCCAGCCCAGTGATGTGTAATGGCGAAATGTTGTTCGAAAAAGTGAATTTTCCTCACAAAAAAGCCAGTTTATTGCCTTAAATTGCTCGAATAGTTCACGCAAATTATATCTTTCGTTACCCGAAGCATTGGTAAATACATTTATCGCATCCGCAACACGCCGGGCCCACCATTCACACCTGGCAATACCAAGCGCTTGGGAAAGTGCGACAGAGATGAAGCTATGGCAGCTGTAGAAATCCGAGCACAAAGCAAAAGCAGAAAACCGAAGCGAGGAGGCCAAGAATTTGCAAATCAATTCTTGTCTATGCCCGAGCTCGCAATTGTGGCCATATCCAAGTAATATTTTGTCTGGTCTGCGCCTCCCCATATGCTAGGGGCTGACAAAAGAAATATATACTTAGAATTGTGAGCGACAGGCGGCTGTAGACGGACGTGCGAAATGTGTGTCCTATGTGAAAAAGTGTATGCGGCAGAGGGGCCAAGTGTGTGCGTGTGTGCGTTTATGTGAATATGAATAATGTCATTATTCATGGCGAGATTTGATAAAACTGCGGTGACAACATTAAATGATTCAGATGCACTTGGTATCGGGGTCGTGCACCGGGCCAGAGCGGGCTCTCAGAATTGGTCATTGTCGTCTGTGCAGTGCTCTCTTGTGTGTCCAACCACCCCCCTCCGGCTGTCTACTTCTCCGTCTGCAACCACCGATTCGAAAAGCGGTCGACGTTTTTCGTTGTGATGCGTTTCGGTCACGCACCCCGCCAACGTCCCGCTCCCTTTCCGTTACCTGTTTTGCCAATACACACCCCGCCGCCGCCGCTGCCTTTTCTATGGCACTGCTGCTATTACTTCCTAATTTCCCCTCCCCGTCCCACACCGCATGCACGGTTTGCATTACATTTTTGTTATTTCTGAATATTTGCTTTGTTTGTGCGTGCGTGTCGCTCTCTCGCTCCGGCTCTCTCATATGCTCTCTCTTGTATTTTATTAGGATTGTGAGGTGTGTGTGTGTGTGTGTGGTTCTTTCATTCTTTTTGATTAAATGTACATTGAACTCTCATCTGTCGGCGGCTCTCATCATCATGTTAGCCTTTACTCTGCCACTTGTTTTGCAACACAACACATCACAAATTTTGGCCTCATAGAGAAGGCGCCTCGATTGTTATCTAGACTGGAAACCCACATACTAATCCTTTTTGTTGATTTCTTGCCGCTTGCAGCTAATTTGTATATACAGTGTACATAGAGATGAGCACACAAACTCGTTCAGGCGGCGGCGTTGGCGGAGGAGGCGGCAACAGTCGCAGCCAGAAAAAGTCAAATTCCGCCAATGTTGGCGGGGGAACGGGTCACGATGCAGCCCCACATGCAGCAGCGAACAAGAAGGGCGATGCTAACAAGACAGACAAGCCAGAGAAGGCCCAGCCCAAGGCCACCACGGAACAGTTGCGCATTGCCCAGATTACCAATAGCACCACAGAGGATCCTCAGATCAACGAAAAGGTTACCCTCTTACTGACCATGACCCAGCGTTCCGAGGAGGAGGTGTGTTGCGCCCTCAACGAGTGCGACTACGACTTGGAAGCAGCAGCCAACTTCTTGATCGAGGAGCTCCCTCAGGTGAGTGATTCTACAACCGCAAGGCACACAACCACTATATGAGGAATCTCCTCTCTGAATCTGAATCCCTGCAGGGCGCCTTTGCCAAGTACGAGAAAAAGAAGAAGAGGCCTGCAAGCACCGCTGCAGATGGTGCCGCTGGTGATGGCGAGTGGGCCGATGGCAATGCAAATGGAGACAAGCGAGAAAATACCCGGAACCGCAGCTCGAACCGCGGTGGCGGACGCGGCGGCACTGACAGCCGTGGATGTAAGTATATCCTAACAATTACTCTCATGAACGTACCCCCCCTACTTAATGATTTTTTGTTTGCCTCCAGGGCGCGGCAGAGAGACCCGCGAGAACGAGCGCAGCACTCGCGAATCTCGCGGTGGCGGTGGGGAACGCGGCGGCGAACGTGGCGATGACCGGGCCAACGACAACTATCGCGGCCAGCGCAACGGCGGACGAAGTGCGCCAGGAGGCGGTGGTGGACGTGGCGGTGGCTTCGTTTCACGCTCTGGACGCGGAGGAGGTCGCATGGGTGGTCGTAGCAGTGGTCCACGCGGAGATCGAACCAGTGGCAGCGGTGGCTTTGGAGCTGGGCGCAGTAGTAATGCCAACGAGGATCACCACGAGGTGGAGCTCTGGGACAACACCATTGCGCAGAATGCCGAGAAGCAGCAGCCTGGCCACGACGATGCCTGGGGTGACTGGAATAACGAGGAGTACGAGGGGTCCCTCAAGGACAGCAAAGTGTTCACCACCAGCAATCTGTCCACACAGACGACCGCCAACGTGGTCAGCGGAGGAGGTGCCGGTGCAGGTGCAGCGTCAAGTACTGGCTCTGGGGGCGAGCTTTCGGCCCCGCCAGGACTGGAGCATCATCTGGGCAGCAGTGCCCTGGCCCAACAAGGATCTCATCTGGGTGCTCTTGTGTCATCGGTTGAAGTGGGAACAAGCGGTGAGGACAATACTGGCAGCAGTGGACCGCCGGCCACACCGCCATCGGCGCTGTCGGGCTCGGCCACCACGCCGCTCCTTCAGTACAGCGCTGCGGTCAGCAATCCACCACCCCAGATGCAGTCTCAGGGCACGCAGCACAGCAGCGGCGGAGGCACTGCAGCTGGCGGTGGGGGCAGCGCTTCATCATCCTTCGTATCCGCCGCATCAGACACATTCACAAGCGCCGCCTCGGCAGCAGCCACGTTAGTGCAGCAGGCCCAGCAGCAGCAACAGCTCCAGCAGCAGCAGACGACTCCCATCAAGCCGTCGGCTACCCTTTCTGTTGAGCAATCTCAGTATTTTAACTCCCTGGCCAGCCAGGGCGTCAGTCCCGGTTCCACTGCCGTGCAGCCAACGCCAGCTGGGTATGCCCAAAGCTCTGCCACCGCCTACTCGCAGACGAGTACGAGTGGGGGTGTAGGTGTAGGTGTTGGTGTGGGCGTAGCTGGTAGCCAATACCCCAGCACGTATGCGAATGTGTTTGGCTCCGCAGCTGGTGATCAGTCGCAGCAGCAGACGCAGGTGAGGAGGGCACGTGTCAAACTGCCGCCTCCATCGAAGATCCCAGCGACCGCGGTAGAAATGCCCGGCGACAATGCCCTGAACAACATTGGCTACCTGGATGTGCAATTCGGTGCCCTGGACTTTGGCACGGACGACAGCTTCGACGCCATGCCAGAGAAGTTCAACGCGGGCGTCGAACAGCAGCAGATGCAGCAGGACGACTACCAGAACAAGTCTCAGCAGCAGCAGCAGTCGACTCTGACAGCGGGCCTGCAAAGTTCTCAAATTGTGAGTTCCCTCATAACCGCTCTACGCCCTATGGTCTCTATAATCTAATCCGCAATAATGTTTTGAACAGGGTGATGCCTTAAGTGGTGCCGGCTATGCGTCCCGGTCAACGGTGCAGCAACAGCAGCAAAGCGGTGGCTCGGCCGTTGCCAGCAATGCGCTGGATCAACTGACCAAGAACGATCCGTACGGGCAGGCAAGCAGTGCGGGCAGTGCCTATCAGAATGCGTACCAGAGTAGTGCAGCCAGCAAGGCGAACAGTGCCTACCAGACGGCGGCGCAGGGCGGCTACGGCAACTCCAGCTATGCGAATGTCCAGTCGTCGGTGGCCAACAGCTACCAGACGCAGAGCTATGGTTCGTACCAGCCTAATGTCAACTCTTACCAGCAGCAGCAGACTGTCGCTGGGACGCAGAGTTCCGCGGGTGGTGGTGTGCCCGGAAGTGGGTCAGCAGCCACGCAAAACATTCCGGTCGGAGGAAGTGCCAGCCAGAACAGCTCCAGGTAACGTCACGCCGTTTCTTTGTTGCCATTCGTTGATCTAACATATGCCGTTCTGTTGCTCTGTTCTGTTTTCTTCTTCTAACACACGTTCACTGTTTGTTTCTTTGCTAAAACCCGCCTCAACCTGCCAATTCCTGCCTTTGCCCTGCCCCATGCTCAATGTTGCAGCGGCAATGCCAGCTCTGCGTATCTCACATCGGGATACTCGACGCCACAAAGCGCTTACCAGTCCAGCCAGAGTGTCTATGGCAACAGCAGCGGGTATGTATGGGAATGCGGCTCTCTCCCAGTTTCATCCTCCCATATTTTAACACATGCTCCCTTGTTTTGTTCTGCCCTGACCAATCTCCTCCCCCAATCGCCTATTCAGGTTTGCTGGCAGTGCGAGCAACGCGTCCTCGCAGTACGCTAGCTTTAGTGCCAGCGCCAAGCTCAAGGATGCATCCACAGCCAGCGGCGCCGCGCACTACGACAGGTAAGTTCATCGCTGCATGCTGATCCTCAGTTCACTTACTAAAACCCAGCAGGATGTAGAAGTAAAAGCTTCTGTTTCGAATTCCTTGATTCATCGATTAATCAATGCGTTTCGTTGTGTATGTTGTTTCAGTGTGTCGACGAGCAGCGGCGTAAGCAGCAGCAG